AATACTCTTGTACAAGGTGAATATATGTAGAATAAGACAGTAATACTTTTTTATTTTCTTCTTGAATTTTACAATTTCTAGGCTTGTGATTCCTCATGCCCATTAGTCCACTTTTAATTTAATCACACTTTTGTTTTGCCTCTCCTATTTTAGACTAAATGAAACCAATGAACAGACTGAAATAATTATAGAGACCAAAACACCCGAACAGCGTGAAACAACAGTTTGCCTACTTTAAGGAATGCAGGAAACTAGTCATAATCCACAGCAAGAAACATCAAATTTGAAACGCAGTGCCCTTACTTGAAATAATTTCTTTTTTCTGTGATGAAGGAATCCATTAGCCTTATGGCAGAGTCTCCTTGTGCAATAATAATGGTAATTTTCCATTTATAGCAGACAATCATGGTGATGGACGGGCCATATTAATGGTAGGTGGACATGCATAATCAGAAATTAGTCATTTAAAATGTGTCATATTTTCATTGAAATTATAGGCAGAAGGAGGGCCCACAATTATAGATGTGATAAGCGAGCAATGCTTCAAACTATCTTTACCAACATGAGGAAAACCAAAAGTCACCAAATTCTGCCAAACTATTATTTTTCCTATCAGCAGTAGGTAGCAGAGAATTGCCCTTGAATGAGACAAACAGTGGATGAAACAATGCAAACGCAGAAACTGGATTTATCACAAATTACAGGTTTCCACAGAAGCAATAATGCAAATGCAAAATTTCCATGATCATGCACTGAAATTTCGTACTGAAAGATTACAAAATTGTCATTCCTATAGTTCACTAAAGTGAACGAGATCAAACACAAAAGAGAGGTTGAAACTTGAAACTTGAAACTAATGTTTCTTATTAAAGTTTACCAAAAATTACCAAGACAGCATTCTATAATCAAAGACAGACATGAACACACGTATACGCATACACATCCATAATCAAACAAACATATCACAGGCATACACACATTTAATAAGAAATGTAATTACCAGCTTGTTTTGGGAGAGCTCGCCAGTTTTCATGGCCATATTTCTGGATGAAGGCTATGAGTTTAAGATCTTCTGCAGGGTTCCAAGGACCTCTCTTCACTTTAGTCTTATCACAACATGGTGCTCTTCCTTTCCCCATAATAATCTTTTATTACAAATTTTCCCAACCCTTTAGATCCTACTATATATATGCACTCTTCCACTGTCAATGACGTAAGTTTTCTCTCTCCCTCTCTTTCACACATACACACAAACATATACTATGCATCACTATTGTCTCCCTTTGCCTACATATACTAGCTGGTGCAGAAAGTGAATGCTCTCAAAGAAATGAACCCACAAGGGTCATGCCACAAGTTAGTATGCTGAGATCCTATGCAATAAATAGAAGGAAATCTAAGTAAACCATGTTTTAATATTTAATCATGTAATAAATAAATATCCGTTTGTCTATTTAAAATACAAAAAAATATTCTTTAACAAACCTAAATTTTTTAAATTTATTTGACACTATCTTTCTTATTTTTTATTTAAAAAATACAAAAATTTATATTTTTATGATATTTTATTCTAATAATATATATAAAATAAATGTAAAAGTATATCACAGTACAATACTAACTTTTAAAATTTGTGTTTACACAAATGATTTAGGATTTGAGTTTTGTCTGTTTGTTTGGAGGTTTGTAATGTATACGCGTATGGGATTAGAGCCACCAACTTTCTGAAAATTGATATCACTTCCCTTCTTTACGAAGTCAACATTCTCCTAAATTTCAACACACCAAACTAAAATATGGTTGACCTCCAAAAAAAGTTTTCCTAAAATTAAATTTTAAAATAAAATTTTGGCCGATTATTTCTACAAAGTTAACGGTAGTGGTTAAGTAGAATTCTCTCCAAGATTTCAACTCAGGTTCTTATGACACTAATTTATCTTAGATTATAATAAGAAAAATATTTTTTTGACACACATAAATTTTTTATATTTATTTGAAAATTATCTTTTCTTATTTTTCTCTATTTTTTAAATATAAAAGTTTATATTTGAGTAATGATATCATGACATATTTTACATTCATTTGACACATATTACAAAGATAAAATAATCATAAAAGTGTAAACTTTTGTTTTGTTTCAAGAAAGAAGAGAGTAAAAAATAAATAAGAATAATATTAAATGAAGGTAAAAAGTTTAGGTGTGTCAAAGAATCATTATTCTTTATATTTTTATAACTATTTATCCTTATATCGTGTGTCAAATGAATATAAAGATGTGTCATTGTCATAGTACCCTTACTTTTATAATAATTCACTTGCATTAGTTAATTAGTGTATCCATTAGTTAATCCAATTATCCAAGTATAGCAGTATTCTTTATATAAACAATGTTTGCCGAAAGCAATGAAACACGCATAATGAAATGACGTAACAGATGGGTGTCTACTTATGTAGAAAATTTAATGCTCAACATGAATTCGATGCAT